CAATGAAGGCTATTGGGCTTTTAGGAAGTGCACGGTGATCACTGATAAAGTAAAAAGGATTCTATTCAGTCTGGAGTGTTTCTTACCTCTAAAGTGGAGGAAAATCGGGGTTTTGAAATGTTATTTTACAAGAGTGTGGAGCAACCAATTGCAGCTCTCTTCACCCTCATCAGAGAACAAGAAACTGTGGCGCAGAGAGGGCCTCACAGTTACAAAGTCGCTGCACTGGCATTTGAACACAGCTCTGTCCCCCTACCCAGCAGCCTCCCAGGGAGACACAGGTTCATAGCCTCTGTTCAGAATAACAACAACAACAAAGCAGGTGTTTCTATTTTAAAAGTTGTGAACAGAGGGTTGTGCTACTTTGGCAAACAAACCCTAAGGGCTAAGCATATACCCAGAGGGTTAGTGTTGGAATCAAAGTGTTAAATTGATATGTATTCCTTAGTATGCATAGTGGTTATTTTGAGAAGAAAATCAGTCATTGTATCTGGGAAACCAGGTATAAATGGCTAGTAATTCATTTATTGCTTTTACAAAGACAGCATTTAACAAAATGGTTTCTTCTTACTTTCTTGGGTTTTACGTATTTTCAATCAGCATCTATAGTTTTATTTGATTCATTTTCATTCTACTCTTCTTCCCTCTATTCCAGTCCTCCCTGCCCATTACCAACCCATCACCCATTAGAGAAATATGTAGGGCCACAGCACAGCCCTTTGACCCACCCCTCCCCTGCTCTGCCTCAGGGAGGCATGCTGGCTCCCCGATTGGAATCCCACCCCCAGCACACCAGGCTCCCTCCTCTGGCCATGCTGACATATTTCTGGGTGGGAGTCCAGGTGAACCTCATAGTCCTCACACCAACTAGATAATGTGAGACACGCTGAGAGCGTGGGCTTGGGAGAGAGATGCTTCAGAGATGACCTACTCCTTTCTTGGAGAATGAGGCCTAAAGAGTGTACGTGACCTGAGGAAACTGCCTGGGTAGAAACAGATGGACTAGAATAAGATCTCCTGTCTCCTCACCCCCACTCCCTCCACTATCCCATCAGGAGTGAAAGAGCAGTATATTTTATCGATTGACATATTACTCATACTCTTCTTTTTTTAAAGGCATTAGCAGAAGCTTTCAATAAAAGATGAATGTATACCATAACTTAAGTGAGGTAAAGAGAATAAAAAGCACATATTTAAGGGAACAGCTGGGTATTTCTCAATACCAAAGAGGCTACCTGGGAGTGCATTACTAACTCTAAAGACTTCTATTTAGTTCTGAGTTTTCTGGAGCCCAAATTGGAAATGGAAACACATTGAGTTACACAACACTCATTATCTAATAAATAAATAAAATAAAATAAATTTGAGGTTTACCATAAAAACTTGATCCAAGGGTTAAACTTAAGTAAAATTATCAGCCATATGATAGTGGACAGTGTACTGAATAACACTTCTATAAAAGATATGGGATGATTCTTGATAAAGTTAACACTAAATCTTGGTTCTGTCTAATTCTGCATTTCTTTGGAAACCTAAAGTATTAGGGTCCAGGTTTGCACTTTTGTTGTAACTTGATTTGATTCAGGATAGAGTTGAACGTCTTTAAAGCAATAGTTCTCAAATATTAATGTGCAAATAAATTAACTGGGAAGATATATATATATATATATATATATATATATATATAATTTTTTACAGAGAGGAAGATTAGAAACATGGATGAGAGAGAAACATCAATCAGCTGCCTCCTATACACCCCCCACTGGGGATGTGTCCACAACCAAGGTACATGCCCTTGCCCGGAATCGAACTTGGGACCCTTCAGTCCGCAGGCTGACGCTCTATCCACTGAGCCAAACCGGTTTCGGTGAGGGAGGTTTTTTAAATGCAGATTCACACCCTGGCTCGGTTGGTTGGAGCATTGTCCCATACCTAACAGGGTGAGGATTTGATCCCCAGTTGGGTATACATGGAAGGCAAATGACTGATATCTCTCTCTCTCTCATCAACAAACATATCCTTAGGTGGGGATAAAAAATAAAAAAACAAAATGCAGACTCACTGCCCTCTCCACCTCTCCCCCTAACTCTACATATCAGGGACAGAGGCGGGGGTCTGCATTACTAACGAGCTCTGATTTGGATGGAGACAACCCGTGGAGCACATTCTGAGAGACACTAATGGAGAAGAACAAATTGCTTCTAGGCTGCTTAGCTTGGGTCAGCCCCTTGAATATGAATTTTCTCCCCTTAGTTGTTAATTCACAGACAACAGACTGATGTCTCAGGGGAGACAGAGGCCGTGCGAAGGCTCTGGGTTGTCGAGACACCTATGCATTGTACACCAGGCATACAGGGAGCAAACATGGGTCTGCCTGGTGAACTCAAAGTTTGAGGAGTGAAGGGGACCGTGGAAAGGGCCAGAAATGGAAGAGGAGCTGGCACAGAGCAGGCTGGGAGCACCCGAGCGAGCCTAGGCTGCTTTGCCACTTTCTGCGGCTCAGCCTGTCTGGTCTCTGTTGTCCATAGGGGAATCTGTGGCTGGCCTTACTGTCTTTGCCTACAGTTCATGGGAAACTTTCCTGAAAATCCATTCAGAAAGTTGGGGTGAAAGCAGGGGGCCATGGACTCCTAAGGATTCATGGGAGGCTTCAGGGGCCCTGACCCCCCTGAAATTATACACAAATATTTTGTGTGTGTGTGTGTGTGTATGCATATGTATAGTTTTGTGAAAAGAGATTCACAAAAATACACAACTTTCATCACATTCTCACAGGGACCACAAATGATCCCAAAGAGCTGACAATTGTTGAGAATTTCCGGTGCTGTGGAGGCCTTGTTTGTGTCAGCACATTGCAGACCTGCGGTCAGTTAGCTGACCACCTCATTGGTGACAGCCACATCACTAAGTGTCCCTCTGCAGGAGCCACCCTCCCTGCCCAACCTGAGATTCTGGTAATAAAGTTGCCAGACTTGATTTTGACAACTGGTGTTGGGCAATTAATCCGCTTTCATTGCTCACGGAAACAGTAATTTCAGGTGACAGGATTGTTATGTGCTGCTCGTTAATGGGGCCTCTGGGGTCGAGAAAACACCACTGAGATTGCTCTGCCCTGTTCTTTCCCATCTCTGGCATCACCGTGGAAATCTCCAGATAAAATGTTTAGTCAGCTCCCACTCTGAAAGCTACAGAGCGGTTTCCTTTCATCCCTCTTCCAAGGGCAGGATTAGAGAAAAGCTTGCAGCCTTTGCTTGTGGCCGCCAGCCCAGGCCGCCTCCACAAACTTGCTGATCATTAACTTGAAAAACTGGGGAGTTTTCTGTCCCTTCCATTTGCTTGTTTACCCGTCCAGCCAAGTTGCTTTACAACGAAGTGAGTTTTGAATAAAGAGGGTCCCAGATGATGAAATATTTGGCTCAGCACAAGTCATGTATTTCCATTCCTTTTCACGTCGCTGAACAAGAGGGTTCCTTTGACCGTTGGGTCAGGGCAGGTCTGCCTAATGGTTCACCACGTGCGAGCTCAGGTGACAGGTGGATGGAAGGGAGATAACGCTTCTTAGCAGTTTAGGAAGCTGGGAACCGGGTGGCTATTTACTAGCTATGCATAGTGGGCCATGTGTTTGACCTCCCTAAGCCCTCATTTCATCATCTGTCAAAAGGGGATAAAAATAATAGCTGGCGCATGGAACAGCTGTAAGGACTAAGTGGTATCGTAAATGCCTGGCAGATAGCAAGAGCTCAGCGAAACAGAAAAGATAGCATCTGTTATAAATACAATTCATTTCTCCTTTCCAAATCCAGATCTTTATAAAGAAGTCTGAAATAGTGGAGAGGTTAAAGAAATAAATATAACACTCCAGGCCAATTCATCTCCATGCCCTCGAAGCTTGTTAACATAGCCATGTCTCATCCCATCACCCCTGAAATCCTTTTCTAAAATGCTGCGGACGAAGATAGAGATGATTACACTATCAGTTCAAATGGCTGACACCAATTTCACTGTGTACGACCACATTGCTTGAAATTGAAGATTTCATGCGAAACTGACAATCAAGAATTTGTAGGAGACCTGCTTTCTCTCTCTGGTTCTCCTTGATGAAACCAGCCAGACACTGCCATCGGGCACTTTTCGCTAGAGTTTCAGCGGTGTGTTTCTGTTTTGTTGTTGCTGCTGCTGTTAGCAAAAGGTGTCTATTCTTTTTCCCGATTTCCACATCTATCATCGGATTTTATTCCCACTCTTTAGACACCAAATGCTAACAAATTTGCTCCTTCGTGGAGTTGATTCCTACTTAACTTCATTAAGTTCAGAATTTATTTTAGAAGTCAGTCTAATGATTAAACATTTAAAACTCCTGCACTGTGACATTTGGAGTTTTAAGTATTCCCTTTAATATTTTTTTTTCTCAATTTTCATGAGGGTTCCAACTCACATTTATTGTTATTTCCTTAGGTCTGCATTCATAGCTTTTGTTTATCTATCTATTTATTTATTTATTTATTTATTTATTTATTTACATTCATAGCTTTTATATTTATTTTAATCTTCAGCAAGACTGCAGCAGGCAAACTAAACATTGCACCAAGATGTTCAATGTCATCTAGGAACAGTGGCCAGCCCTCCAGTTATATCCTCGAGTAAGAAGAGCCTCGTCTAACTGGAAATAGGAGAGAAAATGGAGCTCTGTGTGTCTTGAATGGCAAGGATCTCTCCTTGTTCTTGACAGGCTTTCCCTTAATCTACCAGTTGTAGAGGCAAGGAGAACAAAGAGTGCTTGAAATTATTTCCATTAACTTATTTAGATGGGGTGTTTGGTGAGAGTCCATAGAAATATGGGTTGTAGAGAAGGCTAGAGAGGTCCCTGGGTTGCATCTACATGACAGAGAAAATAACCCAAAGTACATGTATTAGGGACACTGGGATCTTTGGCTAATGTTTCTATAAAAAAAAAAAAAAAGAACCCATTTGTTCGGTAATGGTGTTGCTTGCCCTCCTAGCTGCTGTGGTCTGTGTGACACTCCTGGACAGACTTGAATGTGACCAGATCAACTTGCCCCATGACATCCTGGTGGAGTACCAGCAACGGCCCCAGCTCCTCATCTCCAACTTCATCAAACAGCGGCTTGGACTGTGTGACCAGATGTCATAACTGGGCAGCCCAACTCTTCCCTGCAAATTTGTAGTTCAAGCTGTCATATTGGCATTACATATCATTTGTGGCATTTTCATAGAGTTCTCATCCACATGCTAAAATCACAGTAGGATGATTTTATAAAAACCCCTTTCTCCTAAAAAATGAATTTATCTTAAAAGGATTTAATATATTCATTAAGTTCAGATTTTATTTTAGAAGTCAGTCTAATAATTAAACATTTAAAACTCCTGGACTGTGACATTTGGAGTTGCAGAATTAATTAAACTCACATCAAAATAGATCGGCCATTTGTAGACACGGTTCCCAATCACTGTTTCAGAAACCCATCCAGAAATTCATGATGGAATGTTGTCAGGCACTCTAGGTGTTGGTCAAGTGACAAGAATAGATCATGCACACTCAAAATATTTACAGAAAAAAACTGTGAGTATAAAATAGGTCTATATTAAAAGGTAACCTTTCAGGAAATATGGCATACTTCTTCCCCCTGCATGATCTCAGCACACCACGAAGTAAGATTAGAGGCTTACATTTGCTTATGTTTGTGGTTTTATCATGAAATGTAATCGTGTTTATTTTCAAATGAAAACCCTAGGTTATGCAAAGGAAGATTCTTGTTTTTCTTCAGAGATCACAAATGATTCGATCACCTTTTAGCAATTTTTTTTTTCCTTTGAAGGAGATATATTTTGAGGAGGCTGTATTTTTTATGTTATTTCCATGTTTACCCAGTAAATGGAGGAATTAGTCACAACTGACTTTAGACTTGTGTTCAAAATGTTAAAGCCTTCCTTTTGTGTTACTTTGAAGCAGATCCTGCCCACACCCTGCCTGACCTCCTATTCAGTGAGACCCTCTGGGAGGCAGTGTCCCTTAGAGGGTGCCCATGTGCTCTGAGTTGATGCTCCTGGGAGATGAGGGGGGAGGAGGGCTCATCTAAAGCTGAAACACTTAAGAGTTGGGGAGCATGAATGGGGAATGGGTGCAAGAGAGCCAACAATCTTGTATAGTATGTCACATTGTGTATATATATTTATATGGCTGTGACTCAAATAAAGTTTAATTTCAATCAGATAGAGATGATTTGCATCCTTTTACTCAACTACAATGAACAATCCCCCAAGAGGTACATTAGTTTGGGAATTTCTTTTGGCAATAGATTTGTTTGGAGCACAATTTTAAGGTACCCCAATAATTGACCAAAGATCAGAGCTAAAAGTTAAGTAGAGCAATAGTGTCATCATTACAGTGGAGTATGCACTTTGTCCCATCTTTTGTAGACGAAGTGGAAATAACCAAAATGCTCTTCATAACCTTTCAAATCGCAGAAGTTTGAACTTTGTTCTTGTCCACTCCTAGAAAATATTTGTTTCTGTTATATTAAGGGAAGAGGAGGCTATGGGAGAGACAGAAAAATGAAAAATTATGGTTAATCGTCTTGTCAACTCCTGACTGCACACATGTGAGCCTGTGCAGTGCATCTGCATAGGTTCATGTCTGTGTTTTCCAGTTATATCCTCGAGTAAGAAGAGCCTCATCTAACTGGAAATAGGAGAGAAAATGGAGCTCTGTGTGCCTTGAATGGCAAGGATCTCTCCTTGTTCTCGACAGGCTGCATACGCCAGAAACTTGGAAACTTCTCTGGCGATTTAGTCTCCTTCTTTCCTACTACAATCAATTGCCAAGACCTGTTAGTTGATTCTCGTAAATACTTCTCCATTTGTTCACCAATGGAAAGCCTTCCTGGTCCTCAAGTTTCCATGTACAGTCATGACCAGCACTCCCAAATACCAACACAGTTGAAGTTTAATGATTACTTTTTGGTCCAAAATAGACTAAAGTTTCCCTGGCTTATTTTTACCTAGGTGTAGAATCTTATTTAGTACTTTGTGCCCTGTTAGGTGCTTAATAAGGATTATTAAATATCAATCTCAACAACATCTCAGTCAGTTGGAATTTTATTTCTTTCTTTTAAAAATATAGCTCTTGACATTTGGGACTCGTTTTCCAGAAGGTTGATAACAATCTATGGACCCACTCTGCAGGAAAAGGCATATTCATGTGTCTACCTCTGAATTTGCATATAGTTTCATGAATTCACATACCTTCCTCAGACTGGATCATGACAGGATACTTGAGTCCCCTATCAAAGAGCACAGTGCCTGTGGATGGCCCCTGCCACACCCCTGCCTTCTCTAGCCGTCCAGCCCCCTTAGATCAGGGCTGATAGCAGCTGTTGCCATCCTTTGTTGTTCCCTAAATCCTGCTCACCCTTTGTAAACAGTCCCGTCAATAAGTCCTGTCAGTTCCCCAGTTTAATTGTGCCACTTGCTTCCTGCTGGGAACCAGAACATATTGAAGAACTCAAAATTTTTTGGAAAACCACTGACTTGAGAAACTGAAGTCATTCTATACGAAGATCTCTCCATGACAATATATTTTTCTACTGCAAAACAGAAGTTAAGATTTTTGTTTTTAAACAGGCAGAGAACTGTTAAAAATGTAATCCTCTATAAAAATATGTATTCTTGCATTTAAAAGTCCTCATGGAATTCACCAGGGCTTGCAGCTTGAGAAACACGGGTTTGATGTATTTTCCTATCCAGGTGCTGAGCATCACATGTATGATAGAATTGAAAGCCTGAGTCAAAGATAGATAAATGGCCTCTATTGCTTGCTTCCGAGCTACGTGTCCCATCATTCTGTCATGGAAGGAAATTAAAGTTGTCTGGCACATACTGCACTGCAGACAGCCACACCATTCCTCGTCAGGACCCTGTGTGCCTCTAGATGTCTATGCACAAATTTATTTTTTTGAAGATTTGATCTGCAATCTTCATTTCAGGATTAGAGATAAGTACACTAATCTTTGGTTATTAGGCTCTCACTGTGTCCCTTTAAAAAAAAATAATAAAGGAAGCAGGACTTTTCCTACACCTTCCAGGACATTATCTTCTAAGAATCCTAAAATGATATCCAGAGGCTCCACAACCCAATGTCTCCCAAGATGAAAACTGAAAGTACGTATAATGTTCAACCTGCTTGATTATTTGTTTACTTAACAGTTTTCCATTTCTCAGTTCTTTTTTTTACTCCTTTCAAATAGGTGGTACTCAATATAGAATCAATTTAACATTTATTTCTCCAAAATTGAGCATATTAATTTTCCCTTGAGAACAAAACCCCATCATTAAACCACTTCTTCCCTCTGAAATGTTAAACATGATTTAAATGTTATTTTTTCATAATATAGCATATATTTTAAAATAATCAGGCAAGATACCTAGAAATTAATATCATATATTTTATAGAGAATTAGTCAAAATTATCCCACCAAAAGGTAGTTTCTTAGGGTTATGTCCATTTTTATGAATGTCTAAAAATGAATGTGAATGTCTTGGAAAATATCTTATTCTCTATAGTACCTTAATTAATCACAATGTGAAGCACTGGGCATACCAGTGTTAGAGAAACTATCTGAATAATCTGATTTTTTCCATCCCTTGTTAGAAAAGGAAAAATAGGTCTTTAAAAATATGGATTTTTCTTTTCATTTTCATATTAATTTATTTTAACTGAACTTAAGGTCCTTTGCATTTATATTTCTCCAGACACCACAACCAAAAACAAACAAAAAACAACACTAAAACAAAAACCAAACAAAACAAAATGCTGTAACAAACAAAATGTCACCAAATTCCCACTTGCTCTGGGTAAATAATCAGCAGTGACCACCAGTCCACCACTCAGATCTGTTTCCTCTACTTCAGAGTCCTCCTCTCCCTCCTTCCATCAGCACTGGAGGGTTTCACCTGTTACAGAGCGGGTTCCGTGATTAATTTAAGGTTGCAATCCATGGACCCACTCTAAGTAAACAGCAAAGGCTGAAACAGACATACTTATAAAGGACTTTATGCAAGTTACAATGCTAGGTGTTCTGAGAGAGCAAGACAGTCAGTTCCTTTAAATAACTCACAGCATATTAAGTTTGAGGCACTATGACAAATATGTGGCTAACAATAATTTAAAAATATAATCTGATAAGATTTCAAAAGAGAGATAGAAATAAAAGTGCTTTGAGGATTCATTAGAGGGAATAAGCATATGAAGGGGGAAGGATTTGAAAGGTTTCTTGAACTAGGTAGATATTTGAGATGATCTTTATTTAAGGATCATAATTTTGACTCTGGGGAGGATTTTGCTATTAAACAAAAAAGGCATGAAATAAGACAACAAAGAAAAATTTAGGGCATATGATTAGAATAGTAAAGAATCTTGTTTGGCTGGGTCTGGAACAGTCATTTGGGGTTCTATTATTTGGAACCTCAAAAGTCAGGTTAAGGAGATTGGATCTTATTCCGCCACAAAGGGAAGTGGCTGAAAGGCATAGAGCAGGACTGATCGGAAATTTATTGAAACTAAGTGGGAGGAGGAGGAGCAAGGTTGAGATAAGTACCAATAACAAGAAACTGTGCCTGGGTGTGGATGACCAAGACCTGAACTTTCACGGTGTTCCAGGTTTGGGGAGGGGGAGGCAGAGATGGGTTAAAGGTAAGCTGAGGCCACCAAAGACATCCTTTTCTTGTTAGACCCGTCAGCTCCCCTGCTTGTGAAGGTCAGTGCCTTCAAATTTTCACCAAGAAATCAAGCAGCTAACACATTTCAGAATAAAAATTCCCTCTTCAGGTAAAGCTGGTGTGTTTCCAAAGTCTTTCCTTTTGTTAAAAGGCTCAGGAAAGTTCAGACACGACAGAGCCGGAGCTGCAGCTGTGGGAGAGATGGCATTGAAAGGGCTGATGAGTGAGAGATGTCAGCGATGATCTCAGCATCTATGCAGATAAAACGCTTTATGGCTTTGTGACTAATCGAAAATCAGCTTACCCAAAAGGATACAAAGTTCAATACACTATAAAGTAAAGGCTTAATAAAATTCTGTCACGTGCTAAACCATGGATGAACCTTGAGGACAGATATTATGCTAAAAGAAATAAGGC